ATGTAACTAATTCTGGAAGTTGTCAGTTTTCCAAGAGAAAAGTTCATTTGCTTTTCTGACAACAAATTGTACAAGAAATTATTTAAAATTCCAGAAAGTCCACATCTGTGCAGATTGTCTGACAGAATTTCAATGGAAACTGGATCAAAAGCCCCCTTAATGTCCAAGAATACTGAAGCCAATTGCTCCTTGTGCGCAAAGGCCAGTTGAATATCTGTGGAAAGCAGCGCTAGACAATCGTTTGTTCCTTTGCTCTTGCGGAACCCAAACTGTGTATTTGATAGCAAGTTATTTGATTCGACCCAGTGATCGAGTCTCCGAAGGATCATTTTCTCCAACAATTTCCTAATGCACGAAAGCATAGCAATCGGACGGTATGAGTTATGGTCAGACGCTGATTTGCCAGGTTTTTTAATGGCTATTACTTTGACCTGTCTCCATTCAGGCGGTACAATGTTGTTTTCTAGCAAGGAATTGAATAAATCTAGCAAGCGTCTTTTAGCGATATCTGGGAGATTTTTCAGAAGATTGAATTTAATCATATCGCTTCCCGGTGAGGAGTTGTTCGATGAAAGAAGAGCCATAGAGAAATCCAGCATTGTGAATGGTCTATCCAGAGAGCCGCCGCTAGGAGACGCTTCTCGAAGAATATTTTGTGCTGGAACTGAGTCCGGACAGACCTTACCCCGGGGAAGTTGCTTGAATATGAATTGAATTAAAACCCATTAAATCACATTAAAATACGATGATAAGGTGATTGGTAGCCTCACCAAATAGACTACACCCGGATATATTCCGGGTACCCCCAGGCAGTGGCGTCACTGGATGACACGGGGGTGGGGGGCTTGGTCACTGATAATGACAATAAAATAAATAAACTTGAATAAGTAAGAAGGGTCTGATCACACCATAGGTGGATAAATTCGGGTTTTTTATGCTGACATTGAAGAAACGGCGTTTGATCCTTAACTTGCCATTTCTGTTGTCGATTCACCCATCACGATAAAAGCTTTACGTAGTTCGTGTGTACTGCTGCAGCTCTGGTAGATGGCATATCTACCCCTATACGTATGTACCGTCGATCCCTTCCTGCAAACCTCCTGCAGCGCTAAATGTCGAACTTGCGGACCGTTAATAAGTCGGGAAGAATATGGGTACTTCCCAAGAAATTAAAGAGACTTACAGTTCCATAATCAGAGTTTGAAATCGTTAGTTTTTTTCGTTGCCTGGGTCTATGCCTATTGTTCCGGCCTGTATTTACATTGACGCTCGGATAGGCTGCACTCTCCGGAGAGAGGAGCACCAACAATCAATACGAAACTAACGATTTTAAATTGGCTCACTACTTGACTAGTCTATTGGTCCCAAGCAAATTGATTAACGTATCCCATTCTAGTATAAATTCCAGTACTACACTATGTTTGTTTTGATTCGCTATGAAAGTTTGACAGATTAAATGAGGGGTTCGTGGATTTTCCTATGTTTCGAGGGGTGCATCGATTAGCTTGGGACCGAAGATAGTACCAGAGCCGAGCAAAAAAGTTGAGCACGTTTCTTCGGGACCTTCTAGTCTTAGGTAACTCTCTATGGGAGCACCCTTTCCCTGTCAGCATACGAGGTTGGTTACCTAATCTTTCCTGTGGTTACTCCACAGACAAACAGACGTAGCACTTCATTCTGGATCATCGTTCACACATTTAACGATTGATTTGAATATTATCATTTTTGCGAACTACTCACGGTAGTGCTGGCATCGGATCACTTTGACGTTTATATATATTCTGTTTACCTTGCATGCAACATTGTTAAAGACTTAGCGAGTAAGCTTGTTTTCTGCGAGAAGCTCGAGAGATTTCGTACATTTCAAAGAGTACGTCTGTTTGCCTGTGGTTACTTTTATCCCAGGGATATAGGGAGAGGAGTAACTGGACAAGAGGCTAAGGAGCAGGGTAGCTTCCACTCACTTGCTATAAAAAAATGTTTTTCGGAATTATGAAATCATTAAATTATGTAACGATATGCGCAGAATCAGCGATCTTATGATTCTTGAGCGTTCACTCAAAGTGAGCGCTCACGAATCGTAAAATCGCTGATTGCGACGCACTGAAACCAATATTGACAGGTTTTATGAGTCAAACACATACTTTACACCCTCTTCTTGTTACTTACAAGTACAACATATCGTTACATCACAGACAAACAGACATAACACTCGTAAGTTGGTTGTTCATCGAACAAGCATTTAACGGTCAATTTAAAAGTATCGTAGTTGGTAGTACCACCACCTGTGGTGCGCATAGTCAATTCCCTTGCGTTTGACGTTTACACACTACCGCCATCTGTTCAGCGTACTACCCTCCACAGTGTACTCAACAGATGGCGGTAATGTTTTAGCGACGATGTTTTACAGTGAGAAATATTCAATGTTGTCTGTCTGTTATGTCTGTTTGTCTGTGGTTACATAATTTAATGATTTCATAATTCCGAAAAACATTTTTTTAAAGCAAGTGAGTGGAAGTAACCCTGCTAAGGACGAGGCTAAGGAGCACTAAATTTGGTCTATTTTATACATACAGGTACGTGGAATATCAACGCTACCCAATGTATAGCCGTTTATCAGCCGTTCTTACCCTTTAAAAGGGTTATTTGGGTCTGAAATAGCACATTTTTCAGCACATAATCTCAAATAGCTGAAAATATGTGAGATGAAATTTTGTCGGCTTCTAAATAAAGTTCTCTAAAATGATAAAGATACTCCCATATGGAGTTATTTTTCCAATAAACTTCTACGAAGGCACCAAATCAATAAAATTCACTTTTCAGGGGTAAAACAATTTCGATTACGGATTTTGGCCCTGCTTTGCTTCACGTCGTAATCACATCGAAAATCGGCCAAGGGATTTTCGAACATTTCATTTTATTGCGAAGTGTCGAATCTAAAAGAAAATTCCCCAAATGGAACACAACCTTAATCCCTGACCTCGTCCCTGACATTGCCAATCATTTTTAAAAATCTCAGGTGATAGCAAAATTTGAATAAGAAATGCTACTGCACCGCATTACTTGCATACAAGTTTTATGCTCGATTTTATGCGTACACTGAAACAAATCGACATGTACCGTTTATTGGATCCATCTTATAACATAGCAATGTCAGGAGATTTATTCATTCTATGTGATGATTGATAGATTTCAATGGATTATCACTTAAAAACTATGACTGCGATATGGAATGATTTCTATCGTAATTTCACATACTTAGTACTTGATAATACTTTGCTTCGAACGTGGTTAGCGATAGGTAAGATGTATATGAATATTGTCTGATATATTTCATGGTGAAAAACTGTTGATATGTCATGGGTGGGAATAGGCATCTAGAAACTAATGGAAAATCATATAAGTTTGCACTATGAGCAAATCGAGTAAAATGTACCTGTTTTCATGATGAATATTGCTCACTAAAAGATATATCATATAAGATAATCATGTATATTTTATTGGAGTTGCTTTTAACGATTTTTGACGTTTGTTGATATGTCGCGTGTAAACAGACATGTAGAAACTATTGGACTGTCATTTAACTTTGCAGTATAGGAAAACATGTATAAATCTCATTGGAATAGCTTCCTTTGATTTTTGAGGTTTGAATATTGTAAAAAGATCTATCCCAATCATTAAATAGTCATATAGATTTGCCTTTTAAGAAATCCAACAGCAAACATTTGTTTTGGTATGTTTTTCTGGGATGAACATCGCTCCCAATAAAATTTATCTTACATAATTGTTCTTTATAAATTATTGAAACAATTTTCAACTATGTTATCGTACACTCATTAGAATGATTAGTCGAACTAAATATTGCTAACAACAATGATACTGTAATAAATAATCATTGTTTGTTATTGTTTCATAAGATAAGGGGTTCCGGAAAAGAATGTTTTGAGATTGAAAAAAAAATGATTCTACTGCAATATTTATTTGCTAAGATTCTAATTGTAAGCCTTCTACACGGCTGATTCAGATTCCAGCACTAGGACTCGAACTTCATGAACCAGTTCCATGAACTCATATAATGTAGTCGTTGTTTTATTGCACACAGGAGCATTAATAATGATTTGAATACACGACACCACTGAAACGGAGCATATATTGGTCAGTGCTATTTTTCTTCACTATAGCAAAACGAGTATAACGTTGCTCTATATTCCATGTTGGGAGAGCTGTTATTACTTCATGCTAATTGAACGAGTTCAATATTGAAGTCAGCCGTGGCCCAATGGAATCGAGCGCAGACACGAAAAGCATCACAGCTCAACAGTTCTGGATCGAATCCCAAATCAGCTACAATAAAAACAACACAACTGTGAAAGCTCCCACTGCCTGGTGTTTATTTTTCGATTTATTTTTAGAAATCGATTAAATATATGTGTCAAAAGAATAAGTAAATTTCATGTGATTTTCACATAAACTTTACTTCGATTGATTTATGACACATATATTATATTGTGGTGAAAAGTAAAGCTTATGCTTATGGGTTTCAAATCCATTTCAGTTAATTATTATAATTTGACCGATTTTCATTTATCATATGGCGATCATATAAAAGTTTTCAAATTATCATCATTGTGAATGTATCAGATATTCATATAGAATTTACCTGACACATTTTCAATCATATCATTTTCAATGGATTATCTTATAGCGCAAAATTATTAGACTTCCACATAACAGGAATATGTCAAATTGGTTCAGTGTAGCTATGCTATTACTCACACACCCAATGAATTTGCACTGGGTGGGTGGCGTTTGACAGGTTTGTTTTGCGCTGTTATCCGTCGGCATGTTTTCCCGTATTTTCCTCTCTTCTATTCTGCGTGTTCGTTTCGCTATGCGTGTGCGAGAAAAGAAAAGACTGCTGGTTCCTTCCTTTTGCTGGAAAATCGCCTTTGCCTTTGCCATCGAAGAGCATAGTCAGTTTCGTTCCGAGCACGGTAAGACAAGCATGCAAGAGCTGTGAGTGGAAGGATCGCCGCGACAATTTTGTTTTTGTGAAAAATTTACTGTTTGATTAGAAATCACAATCTTGTTCTTATTTCCTGAATATCACTTTGTGCACTAACAAAAGGTGAGGTGATTCTGGGTCCGTGTAAACCTTGGCGGAGTTATTCGAAGGATATGCATATTCTCCTACTTTAAAAAGGCTTCGTGCTCCATCTAAGGACAAAAAGTTTATCGTGAAAATTCCGTGCTGCAAACAGTAATAACATTGCTGTCGAGTTCTATCTGTAAAAAATAAGGGTTAAATCACAACTCACAGCTAAAAAATACAACAGCAGAAAAGGTAAAAAACGAGTGAAAGAAAAAGTAGACAAGAGTGATTTTTGTGGTGCATTTTGTTCCTAGTTTTTTTTGTGTGAATTTACGCTGGGGGAGCTCTGTGGCGTTTTTCCGTTCCCTTTTGTGTATTTCGGCTAGTGTTGGTGTAAGTGCAAACACAAGCGAGCACGGTTGTCAGTTGTGATCACAAACACCAAGTCCCTTGTTTTCCTTTCATACCGTTCGTATCAGCGCCAGTTATACGAGTGTGTTGGTGTTTTTCTGCAGCAGCCAACAGCAGCAGCATCATCATCATCAGCAACAGCAGCAGCCGAGGGGTCAAAACGACAGGAATAAGCAGAATCAAATCGCTCTCACGGAGGAAGAAGGAAAATGTCGTCTTGTTTTGAAAAGTGATTCAGTCGTGTCTCGATATAGAGCTAGTAATTATTCTTAGTTGAAAAACGTGCAGATTGTGAATTAGTGAATTTGTTTTATATATTTTTTTTCATATTCGTCAGATAGTGGTTTTTGAGTGGAATGCTTTGTGCGAGATAAGAATTGCATTTCTAAAGGCAGCTAGCAAATTGCATAAATCAGACTGATTCGAGTTGTATTATAAGTAAGGGAAGCAGTCTGCCTATCCAGTTACAAAATCAAAACACAAAGCAGTGCATTAGTGAGAGGAATCGCTTGGCGAAGAAAGTTATCGATTCTCGCGATTGAAGTTGTGAAAAGAATTTTCATTTGCTAAAAATTGTGTGGAGCACACTGGTCGTGGAAGCCAGGGGCTCGAGCCAAACTTCAGAATCATAGGATCGCTGGAGGAAAAAAACGTCGTCGTCATTACGGAGACCAACGGAACGACGAACGTCGTCGACAGTATGGTGAAACGGTGAGTGTTGTTGTTTCTTCTCCCACTCATCTAGGGTCTGCTTCAGTCCAACCTTTTCGGACGACGCGGCTATTGCCTACTCTGTGGAAGTTGGATTCGTGTTCTGTGCTTGTGTGTGGGTCGGATGGGGATTGTCAGTCTGTTGCCTTCTGCTAGGAACTTTCATTTAATTTTATCATTGATGCCTCGAAAGGGTGCAACAATTTAATATCTTCATCTAATTTATCTTATCGAATTTAACATCTATCATCTAATCCGAAATTTAGAGTATTCTTCTGAGAATGTTCCCCAGGAATTTCATGCATTTCTATAGGAATACATCACTTTTTAGAGGCAGTAATACTAACTTTTTTAAATGTTCAAGGAAATAGTGTATTGCCGTTTCAGGGAAAATAATTCGACGCAACTGATAGTCACAGCATGCTATTAAAGCTGATAATCTGACGGCAAATGCTATTTTTTTCTCTGAATTGGCATTATTTCCGAGTAATTGATCTATCCGGAAAATGACATTCCGGTAATAGTTTTCCAGGAAAAGATAACCGATAAAAATAACAACAGAATGCTTTACCAATCTACATTCTTCTTTATTTTGGCTCTATTATGTTCCTATTGGGACTAACAGCTGGCCCTCAGCTTAGTGTCCTTTGAACACTTCCATAGTTGTTAATTGAAAGATTTCTGAGCCTGTACCATTTTTGCATTTGTATAATTGTCTGGCAAGTACACTAATACTCTATGCCTTAGGAAGTCGAGAAATTTTTCAACCCGAAAAATTCCTAGACCAGACCGGTAATCGAACCCAGCCGCCTTCAGCATGATCTTGCTATATAGCTTCACCTTTACCGTTTGAGCTAAGGAAGACCCACAACACTTTGAATCGCATAAATAATGTTCTTTCTGTATCATAGATTCTAACAGAAGCTCTTTTTAAAAGCTTATTATAGACGCTTGCCCGCAAAACTAAAACAAAAAACACGTAATGAAAATAAATCTCAGTAGCGACGCAGTAAAAGAGAATTTTTCCAAGGTTTATGGAGTATTTATTCGTTTTAGTATTACAAAAAGCATTTTCTCGTTATCTTATGTTTGGGGCTTTAGATAGCATAGGCTTTAAAAGTACGGTATTGCCAAGTCGGAGGGGGCGGGTTCAATTCCCGGTCGGAGTGTATCATTACCACACAATCAGTGGTGTTTCTCTAACCTCAATCTACCAGTGCACCAACTCTCAAAACATAAACAATTATCGAAATATTGCTTGTGATGGATAGTTACCGAGTAAACTAGATTTGTAGCGGATTTGATCTTTCAGTCGCGAAAATCGTGGAACCATCAAATGATGTCGTGAAAATTGCGATGGGACTGATGTGCTATCACACAAATTGGAGAATTTATTGTAATGGCGCGAATTGTTTTAAGGAATAATTATCACGATTTTCTATTTATAGTGTATTATGATGTACAGAGCAGTGATGCCCGAGGTAGTGCCTACATTCCACTTCAAACTGGATTCTTCAAGTTGTTTTGGACGCATCCATGAAGTTAAAGTTTGAAATATTCCAGTTTTTTTAGAATTCATCCTGTTTTATCCAGTTTTCCATTACTAATAGCAACATATGTTGACGTATGATTACCAGTACAGATGAATAAAGATACCTTAACTTTTATATAAGAATTGAAATCTACAAAATTCGTGGCGATGCTACGGTTAAGCTCGCTTCACGGCATGGAGACAGGCGAGCTGTGTCACAGCACGCGTATGGTCTAGATGTGAGACTTGTCTCCCTGGCGTCGGTAGCATTAGTGCTCAAAAAACAAGATCGACGGAAAACAAATCAAGAAAAAAAAGCTATCCCGCTTTTATAAATATTGTACTTGAAAAAAAAAATGCAACTGTGTGTATAGCTTTTTATTGCAGTTGTAAAAATTGATGAAATTTTGAGTAAAACTAGTTTAAAGTGTAATGTTTACATGTGCAAAATCTCGTCACAATCTGTCAAGTGGTTATCGAGATGGCTTCCAAGCAAAAAGTGCTTCGACAAAAAATTATGGGATTGGTCATGGAAAATCCAGGCCAGTCACACAGGTGGACCGCGAAACAGTTTGGAATCGACAATTCGACCGTGTCCCGTGTGGTAAAATCGTCCAAGAAGACCCAGACGACCCAGCGGCAAGCTGGCAGCGGAAGAAAAGCGAATACGACCGACCCCGTGAACGCAAGGAAGGTAGGGGATTACTTCAAGCGCAATCCGAACCTCTCAATTCGGGACGTATCCAAGAAGGTCAATTATTCCGTCTGGTTCGTCCAGCAGACAATGAACAAGGTCGGACTTCATGTCTTCAAGGTAAGGAAGGTGTCTAAGCAAACCGATAAACAGAATACGGTGGCTAAATCCCGCGCCAGGAAGCTGTACCGCGAGTGGTTGGTGCAGCCGAAATGCATCGTAATGGACAGCGAGACTTACATTAAAGTGGACGCCTTGCAGATCACCGGTCTGAAGTTTTCTTCGGAAAGTCCCGCCGGGATTTTCCGGAGAAGCTCCGGAAGAAAAGGGTCAAGCAATTTGCCAAGAAGTACTTAGTGTGGCTGGCCATCTGTAGGTGCGGCAAATTCAGCAAGCCGTACATAACGACCGGCACCATCAACGGCCAAATATATAGAAAAGAATGCATTCAGAAGCACCTGCTGTTCTTCCTCCGGTCGCATGAAAGTGACACTCTGTTTTGGTCGGATCTGGCATTGTGCCATTACGCGCAACCGTTGATGGAGTGGTACGAAGCCAACGATGTTGTTTTTGTGCCGAAGGAGACAAATCCGCCAAACTCGCCAGAACTTCGCCCAATAGAAACATTCTGGGCGGTTATGAAGGAAAACAGTGAAGGTCTTCAAAAACAAGAATTTGTAAAAAGAGTGGATGAAAGTGTATAAGAAAGATTGTGCAAGTGTTGCATACACGGATAGAAATCTCCTTATACCTTTTGGCAAATTTCCATTGCTGATTATTCATAAAATGTATAAGTCAACTAATAAGCTCAGTGTTCACTCGGCTGTCGACAAAAGCAGGCCACTCTCGATGTGTGCTACGCGATCGTCTGTTTTCTCGACAGCAACCATTGTGTGGTCCTCCTCATTGTTCTTCATCAGCAGTTCTTTCGGTCGATGCGTCGTCGACTTTGGAAAGCAACCGTTTCGTGATGAGTGTGTGAGTGCTGACCACGTTTTGTGTCCATTGCTGCAATGGACGCGCTCTGACCCTCGTTGGCATACAACAATTTGCCATACAATGAAACTACTGGAAGCGGCTCCAGTTCTGATGGAGGAGGCTTTTTGGATAGCGGAAGATAAAGTGTTTATTGTGTTGTACCTTTTGACTATAGTTTTAAGATGTATTGTATAGTGACCAAGAATCCTCGGCTCTGTAAAGTTAATTCGGTTGAGCCTTATCAATAAATTAATAAACAAAAAAAAAAAAAACTAATAAGCAGACGCCTTGCAAAAAGTTAATAAAGATCATGTGTCAAATGAAATGTATAAGCGGTCACACATACCTTTTATGCATTCTAATAGGACCTATGTGGTTTGTTTTATGGAATGTATAAGGCTGATGCTTTGGCAAAAATGTATAAGTGAAACACATGAATTAAATAATTGATTTTCGTTTCGTGTAGGATTTGATGGGTAGCGGTAAGTCAAAGGTGTGGGCATTTAGCCTAGGAGAGGAGGTTGAATAAACCAACTTTGCAAAAACATAGCTAACATGTGTTACTGAGAGTTTAAAAAAATATCCGACTTAAAATGATTTTTTGCTGATCATTTTTGTCTGTTGAATTTTTTTTTCGAGTACAGTCTTTATTACAATCTTATGTGTTTTATTATGTTTACTAAATATTAAGAATTTATACTACCAAGAACATAAAAAACTGAAGATACATTGCTATTTTTTAAATTCTGTTTTCAAAGGGTACAAACGATACGCCCTTAGCTCAGTCGTTAAAAGTGCGAAGCAAGTCCATACTGGAGGAAGCTGGGTTCGATTCCCGTCCGGTCTATTAATTTTTCGGGATGGAAAATTTCTCGACTTCCTTGGGTATAGGATTGTACAGGCATAGAAAACTCTCAATTAAAATGTTGAAGCGCTTCAAAAATACTTAGTTGAAAATAGCTGATATGCTAGGGGAAATGGGTGTAATGTAGGCCTAAATGCCCCTAATTTGGGCCCATACATAAATTCAGCAATCGATTAAATTTTCAATAGTGACCAAAAATATCCATTAGTACCGTCCCAATGACGCACTAATCTAGATAAAATTGATAAATAGCAGATTATTAGCGATGGGCCCAATCTTAGATCCATAGGGCGACATTAGAGCCATTTCCCCTATAAGCAATAAGCTTGAAATACCACGTAGTAGTAATACAAATGGTATTTTAAAGCAATGAAAACAGTTTTTTTTTGCAGATTAGTATTTAAAATCGCGGATTTCGCGGATTAAATTTTGAAGAACTTGTAACACCCCTGCATTTTGTTTTTGTTAAAAATGAATGAAGTTGGCCAAATTTTAGCACAAAAGTGATAATTGTAACCCCTAGCAAACAATTATACAAAGTTTCGTCGGAAAAGGTCGAGTCTGAAATTGATTTTCTCTGCTATTTCTAGAAAATATGTGAAAAGGGTTTATGTACAAAATGTAAACAATGGTTTTAAAGCTTACTCAGACAATTCAACAGCAGCATATGGTAAACGAAGATTGTTCTATCAGATGGTGTAGTTGCGTGGGCATTTTGTGATTCGTGAGCAATCTACGTTTAAAGTAATTGTTTACATATGGTACATCTTAACATGTTACTCGAGATTTGGACTGGAACTCCTCTTTTAAAATAATGAAGCTTGATATGTTGCAAGTAGCGCATAGAAATTGTCTTTATCGTGAAAAAATACGAGCCAAATAATAATGGGACCAATAGGCTAGTCAAGTAGTGAGCCAATTTAAAATCGTTA